TTTTTTGTTTTGGGTTTTTTTTTTGTTTGTTTGTTTTTGTTTTTGTTTTGTTTTGTTTTTTTTTAAATGGGATTTTAAGACTTTGGGAATTTGCATTCTGCTACTTCATTACATGTGTGCAGTCTGTTTCTAAGGCTGGCAGCAAACATATCTATACTTCAACAAGTCCCTAGTTCCAAATATTAGTCAGCATGAGACAGCATTTAACAGAGGTTCCAAGCTTCAAGTATTGCTATAAAAGTAGTTTGTCAGATAGATGTACACCARATCTGTGACCAGTACATTGAATTCTCCAGAAAGTGCAGCACTCATAAGAATGGAACTTTTTTGGTTTTTTTTTGTTTTAAATAGTGAGCTTTTCTGCCCACAAGGACACCGTGTGTGTGTTAGTCCTAAGAGTTCACCACAGAMATCAGCCAAGGCAGGGAGGCTCTTCCATGGTTCTTCCATTCTTCCAGGAGGATGACCTTACCTTACCCATTATCTGCAGAAAGTTACTTATCCTGTTCCTGATCTAATGTGCCTTTCAATCTACCCTATAATGACGCAAATGGATTGATACAGAGTCTGTATCTTAGCCAGGCTTRCAAATTAGTAGTAAGTACTGCCAAGGTAAATGGAAGCTGTGTTTTTTTTAAATCACTGCTTTCAACAGGCTGAAAAGTTCTGTTAAAATCTCAAATCAGATGTAGATAAAAGTCATTTAAGTAGCAAGCCTTAGTACTGTATTGTGAAGTTACACTATTTTAATGGTTCATTTGGTAAGGTAATACCAATAATACCAAGGTAATAATACCTTGGTGGTTTACGTGCTCCCATTAACACACAGCCTGASTCTGATATATAAAGCTTCTCAGCTCCACAGAAGGTTCCTGGAACTGGCAGTGGTRCAAGATTATCTCATCAGTTGTTTTGAAATAGCACAAAGCAGCTTACCAAAACAAATATAGAAAATACTGGTTGGATCCTTATCCTTTAAYTAAGTCAAACAGCTAGCAAGAATGCCCACAAGAAATAATCTTTTTCATTTGTTATATGTGAAGCTTGGTCAGAATCTGAGCACCATGAAGAAGGTGCAGATATATCAAATATTCTCACTGAATTGCTGAGAGATATTTTTGTTCAAGGCAAGAGTGTTGTAATGGGTATGAAATCAAATTAAATATAGCTGGCTTACCAGAGAGAGARAGTGTGATTTGACTTGAAAAATGGCAGGATACCTAGCAATGTTATTTAAAGGGTGCTTGCTTTCACCTTTGATTCATGTCAAAGAAAGTTAGTTCCCTTATTCTGTGGTCAGCAGTATGGCTGAGCTTGTACACAGAAAAATTGTGGTGCACTTGAAGTTGTTGGTAATTACTGTGTGCTTTGTATAAAGCAGAAACTCTACTAGGCAGTAGCTGGGGTCCAAATAAAATATGAGTCTGTAAGTAGACACAATGACAGATGGAAGAAAGTACCAGGTTATTTATTACCTGATAAATGCCTCATTAAAGTGTTGCAAATAATATTTAAAGCWGAATCATTTATGTGAAGTGTTTAATATATGTGTGTTCTAAGGACARCTTGGATGGAGAATTTAGTGTCCTGATTTGTTAAACCATAAACTGAGCTCCTTTGAAAGGAAAACCTCCTTCTCAAAAAAAGGATTATTTAAAAGGCAGTAGTAGACAATCCACGGTGGCACTGCTGGTGGTGTAGAAGGAAGATCTAACTTTTTAATATTTTTTTGTCCATCGGAGGAAAAAAGTAGGCATTGCCTCTTCCAAAAAGCTATTTATGCTTCATATAAGAGAAATCCAGCTCAAGAGAGTCTTTATCCCTCTCACTTACTGAGGTGGATTGTCTTGGATAGGATTGTGATGACAGTAACCCTATTCTCAGTAAACAAAGTCTCTTGGATTATGTAATAAGATCAGGAGAACTGCTCTGCCTCAGAAAGAGAGACAGCACTGTCAGGATGGTTTGGTCATGCAGCTTTGCCAMCTTGCACTCCAGATAGAAATCCTCAGTTTATGCACTGCTTTTTTTTGGGATTCTTTAGAAATCTTTTTGGGATTTTTTAGAACTTGTCTTTGCAATCTGGGTGTTGTTTGTTTCTTACCGAGCAAACTCAATGAGTGGCAAAAAGATGCGCAATTTATCCTACAAAAAGGTGGACGAGCACAAGCCAGGAGTCCTGTGTTTGATTCTTTGCCTGAACTTTTTTGGGGGGAAAAAAAATGGGCGGAAAAAAAGGGCGTTATATGCATTATTACCGTGAGTGCTGATAACACTGTCATTGTTCCTAGGCCGTGAGAAGACAGAAAAGTCTCGAGCAGAGCATTCAGTCAGCACAGGAGACTGACAAAGCCCTGCGTTTGATCCAGGAGTCTCTGGCTGGCATTGACAAGCAGTTGGCAGCCTACACCGCCGACAGGGTGGATGCAGCGCAGGTCCCGCAGGAAGCACAGGTGAGTTACGAGCAGCTCGTGTTTACTGCTTTTCCTAATCAACCCAAGAGTGTTTGGTTGGCCCTCAGCCTCTCGTTAAAGAGGATTTGCAACGTGATCGGCGTGAAAGTGCAAGTAAATTTTGTGTGGGATTASTTGGAGAAGTTTAAGCTACTCTCCTAGTAAAGTCATATTTTCCTTCTGATTTGYGTTATATGTCGGTCCAGAATATGTGAAGAACCATAAAATCGTGGAAGACTATGAGGTGATTTTAAAATGACAAGGATAAACATTGTGGTTCTTTAAAATCAATTTTCCATCCTAGAAAGWGGAAACTCATCATCCTCACTACTCTTCTTTTGCCAAGTTGATTATGTGGCCTGGGATTTCTTACTAAATTATTGAAATGTAGACAACATTRTTATTTATTTCATAATGTGCACATCAATGTACTTACATTTAAATTTTTACAGCTCACATAATTTCTACAGAAAAAGCTTTTTTTTTCCCCAATCTTTACACATGGTTTATTGAGCCTTTGAAATAAAAATGTACATCTCATTATCATTTTTACTCTCTCATTCTTTCTTCTGAAAGGTCTGCTTTACTGCAGCATTAAGAGGTAAGAATACAAACAAAAGAAACCCAAACATCTCTGCAATGAAACTATTAATACTTTACAGTATTATATACCTCAACTTTTTTGTTAATTCTATTTAAATTTTGACAGTCAGATACTGAAAGTAAACAAATGGAAAAAAGCTACAGGGAAGTTGAAAATTAATGCTTTAATCATGATTTTAAAAGAGGCATTCAATTATGCGGTTTTTTTTGCATTCCTGTTGAGTTTTAAATAATTCTAAAAAAAATATTATCTTGCATGGAGTAGCCTAGATGATCTTGAATATATTCAGAGCGGAATCGATACAGCCCTGAAAATAAATTCTTATCTCCTTTAAGAACTAAAAGTTACTATGTCTTTTGAATTAACATGGACACAGATGTACCTTTCAGTTGCTTTTTGTGGCTATGTGCACTTGTAGGTACATGCAGATATTTTTATGTGTGTGTAGGGGCTATATATGCTATATTTGGAGAATAGGATCATATCTGGGTTCAGTCTTATTTTGAAAGTAATTTTTATCCTACTTTATTTTCTTCTCATTTATATCAGTGTAAGATCAGATTTAGACAAATTGTTTCAGTTTGAATCCTAAATAAAGCTAACTATCTTTTCACTTTCTTGAATGACTTTTCTCCTTCCTTGAAATATGAATGATAGAAGAAATAACATAAAAATCAGCATTTTTTAAAAGATTCATCAGTTTAATTTTTTATSTTATARTTMTATAAATTAAATACRTTAAAAATTGATATGAAAATGTACTTTTTTTGTTTCTGGTGTGTTTAGACTCTTACATGTTTCACRTGTCCCATGGATGCATTTGGATTGTGTGCATCCTAAGGTACCATATTAGGAATTAATATAGACTGTGTAAAAGGAAATAATTGAAAAACTGAAGCAGCACAAAACCCAATCAACATTAATTAGCATGTTTTCATAGGAAAATTTCAGCTCAGTGCCTTTGCAGAACTTGTTATTTTTCTTGAGATTTTATTGTCTAATGTCAGTTTCACCTGATTGTGCTATATCCACTGTGGGAAAACCAGCACAGAGGC